TATATATATATATATCTAATCACCACAATGTTCACCTTAAATATCTTATAATTTTGTCAATTATAACTCAATGAAGCTGGGGGGAGAGACCTACTTGGAACAAGGTAAGAATATAAGAAAATATTTAGTGAAATCGTATTAACCTATTAACTCTGCTTGTGAGTGATTTCAAACAAAGGCTTCCCTCCCTCCCACCCCACACCCAAACAAAAAATTTTTACCACCTTTATGTGGATTCTCTCATGGGCTTTATGCAGAGTAATTGATAGAAAATTTAAGACTAGTAGGTGCTAGGCACTCAAAAAAGATTTATCACATACATAGTTAAGAGTTCTCAAGAAAAAAGCAATTTTAAGCATGGGTTATGTGCCATAGAAATGACCTGGCTTTTAAAGACCATCTTGTGACCTGAGAAGTTTTGGGAGCTTGGTCGATGTAGCCTGTGTGTACTTAAGGCTCCACCACCACATACTAATCCTTTATCCTGAATATAGTTTCAGGTCCTTAAACACACCACATCCTTGCAACCTTTAAATTTCCATGCCAAGAAAGTCTACCCTCCTTAAGAGTCTAAGTCTGCCCCACCAAGCTAACTGTATATAGCAACGCATACCTAGAGTGCAGATTAAACAATATACCAGAATGTGTCTGCTCTGAAAAAGTGCACCAGCTCAAAAGAAGTTTGGAAAACAGAAGTCAAACAAAGATAAACTCTTTAAATGAAAGGACTTCTTAAAGCCCCTAATGCGCCAATACATACTGAAAAAATTGGTACTGGTACCTAAAATTGTCCACAAAGTACTTTTTTTCCCCCAAGACACACTAAGCAGAGAAAAAGCAATAACCTCTGCCCATATCGGTTCCAATTTCTTTACTCTGGCTCCTAAGTGTATTATTTAACTACCCATATAATCAGGGGAAAAAATGTTACAAACTCACACACAAATGTGTACATGTTACCAGATGCAAGTCTCAAACCAATAGTATTCCAAGTGTAAACCTTTAATAAAGGTAGTTCCATATCCTCTTATGGACACCTCAGTACCTCCTCCTGGATCGCTCTCTGCTCCTGTCTCTAGAACTGTGCCCACTTCGCTGGTGGCTACGGCTGCGGCTTCGGCTGCTAGAGCGGGATCTGTGGCGATGGCGTTTCTCCCGAGATTTGGAGCGAGTTCTCCTCTTCCGTTCCCGTGACATGGAGCGAGACCGGTGTCTGCGATGCTCTCTGGACCTGGACCTACAAAACCCGTTTGCTTTAGTTTTTAGCTTTCTCAGCAATGCACTTCTCATTTGCTAAAGCCTCTTCTTTAAAGAGAAACAATCGCTCAGTAAGCTTGATGCTAGTTCTATTTCAAGTCAGCTAAATCTACACCAAAGTAAAATGCTGGTATGTTAAATAACTACATACTGCAATTTCAAAATGAAACATTAGTTCTTAAAGGTCAATAAATATCGTATAAATTTATATCAAGAATATCATAAAAATTAAATCTATACCACTACTATATGCCAGGGATTGTACTATCTAGATGATTTTATTAGAGATTTGTAGTTCATTTAAATAATTTCTAAAATTTTTGTGGTATACTTTGTTTCTAAAGTATGTATCTGATGGACATGGATAAAGGGAGGAGAGGCATAAGAGAGATCAGTGTTTAGGATAATGTAACTCTGAATTTATAAGGTTGTATCTTATGACCATCAAAATAAGTTTTAATGTCCACAATATGCCTAGTCACAGTGTAATCAACACAGTAAGGCTGTTCTCCTGTAAGCAGTACTTAGCTTGGGAAGGAAAAAAACATGTATAAGTCATTTTAGAGAACTTTAATCATAAAAAAAAAAAGTGTGAGTACATAGGACTATAGTCAAGGAAAAACGTTTTGAAGTAGCTAGAAGGAAAAACACTTCTGGAGCCTCCACTGGGTCACAAAACTCACAACATGTGTGTGTGGTAAGTGACGGAAACCAAGCAGGAAGAAAGATATGAAACTTTGTTCTAACTGTCCCTTTTTAGAGTGATAGCAATGATCTAAACTTGACATTGACATTGCATAACTATAACTAATGGACTTATACACTTAAAATGGCTGAACTTATGGCATGTAAATTATACCTTAATAAAGCAGTTAAAAAATTGTTAAAGTCACTTTAAAAATGTAATGTTTTCTCATAATTTAATAAATTCAAAAGCATATTATTCAGGTGATACAATTTATAAACCGAGCTCGTTTTCAACTGATTATTTTATTAAATCAAGTTTAAAAGCATTCAGCTTATGTCAACATTTATATTCAAAAGAAGGCATATAGAGTGGACCCAGCATCAACTACGGTTGAACGAATATTTCCACAACTGAATAAAATCTCTCTGAAAAGCAGCATAAGGAAAAGAACATAAAATTCATTCAATGCAAGTTTAATTAAATGGGATTTAGTCACTCATTTTGAGCTACAATGAATTTATGTCTTTCAATGCATAATTTCATTCCTCTTTTACAAAATTCTAGATAATTAGTCATTCATTTAAAAAGTATTTACTGGGTGCATCTTGCACTAAGTACTAGGAAGACTGAGCAGCAAATAAAAAAAAAGTCCTTAACCTCATGGAGGTTATTCCACACAGTGTGTTATTCCACACAGAATTCCACACAGATATGTAAGCAGTAAATACTGTAAGTCGGCTAGTAAAAAAAGGTTATATTAAAAAGGTAAAGATGGACAGAGAAATAAGATTGTAATCTTTTTACAGAATAGGCAGGAAAGGCTTTTCTGGTAAAATAGCATTTAAGCAAAGACAAAATAAGGTAATCAGCCATCTCAAAGAAGGTTGCTTCAGGTAGAGGGAACACAGGGGCAAAAGCTCGGAGGTAGGATAAAGTTCAGCATATTGAAGGACTAAAAGATCTGTTTGGCTGGAATGAAGTCAGCAAGGGGAATAATTCAGGGTTTTAAGGGCAAAATGACCAAATACCATATCATTCAAACTAGGATGCTTTCAATGGTTAATTATATAAAAAGCAAGGGCGAGCTATTAATAAATATGCTGACACAAGACATAAACTGGTACCTACTTACCCCAATCTCAGATCGATTACTTAAAAGCTATGGCAAGGACTTCCACTTCTCATTAAGTGAAATGGAATACCTTTTGGCTGACGTAATTTATTTCACTTTTTAAAGGGCATATTCTGATTGATGTATGAAAAACAGGTTGAGGTAGAGAAGGGGATTGGCCAAGTATAGAAAAGTGCCTTGGAGTACAATGGTAGAAATTAACGTTCTGGCCTCAATATCTGAAGACTTTCTATGTGCAAACAGTTTAAATATCTTTTCAACAAAGGGACTAATTTGCATTAATCAACCGGTAAACAAGAACACTATCAACATTTAATGTTTCTATTCATCCTAGATTTCAGAAACAACAATATGAACTGGCTGACACAACTGGTCCCTTTTATTAGTTTTTTAGTGTTTGCAGCAGAAACACATCGCTGAAAGATCCTAAAAAGTACTATGGGGCATCTAAAAGAAATGCAGGTTTTTCTTTCATAACCGCAAATGCTCTAGTATACAGGGAAAAGTTCTTGAGAAATAATTAACTTTAGAGTTAAGAGTACTCCAAAGGTTTCAGAAAGTAGTTATCTGAACAAGAAAAATTGTAAGATTTGACAAAGAATGACAAAGGGCATTCTAAGTGGGGATGGACTCACAAGAACGACTCAAGGATAGGAATGAAAATTGCACACAAAAAATTTAAAAAATGACGACATACACCATGCTTCCCCACCTTTCTCAGAAAAAAATTAGCAACTACTAAAACTTTTAAAGAATGTCTTCAAAAAGACGTCAAATATTAATGTCAAAGCTTTAAAAATAAAGTGTTCTCTTGCCCCTCTGAAGTTTTTTGTGATCTCGGTACAAAGTTATAAGTAATAAACATATAAAGTGAAGACCAGGGTATAAACTAATAAACATTTCAGATTCCCTTCGATATCTCACTATGGATCCCTCTTTCAAAAAGGTATTCACTATTCAACCTGCTTATATTTTCAACAGGTACACCCTACACCCTCCCTCCTTACTTTGATCTGTTTCTTACATGCACCACGAAAATTATTGTCGCATATTTACCTGCACTTCTAAAGATTTCAAAGAAATATTCTAAAATATTTTTAGCTTTCCCTTTTTTTGTTGTCCAATAGGCTCTATGCCCAACGTGAGTCTTGAACTTACAACCCTGAGATCAATAGTTGCATGTTCTACCAACTGAGTCAGCCAGGCGCCCCAATGTTTTTAGTTTTCCCTTTAACTCCAGGGCACTGTATATATTACTCCAATAAAATTAGGCTGTAGTTCATGAGTACCTTCTGACCAGTTTCATCTTAAAACAAAATGCCCACACTTGAACTACAAAAGAAATTAAGAGTATTACTCTATTAATTCTCATTCATTTTTAAAAAATATTTAATCTATGAAAACAACATCTGGAAAAAACCCAACTTCAATACTTATGTACATTTTGTGTAAAACTTACCTTTTGGGATTCTTGCTATGTGATCGAGACCTGAAAAAAGAGTATCTATTTTTAGAAAAAAAGACTAAGAAAAAGTACAATGCACTGTTAAAATTACATTCTTCCTGATTTCTAATCTTTTAAAATGTGTATTTATTTTGAGGGAAAGAGAGTGCAGGAGGGGCAGAGAGAGATGAAGAGATGGGAGAATCCCAAGCAGGCTCCATAATGTCAGTGCAGAGCCTGATGCGGGGCTTGATCCCACAAATCGAGAGATCATGACCTGAGTCAAACAAAACCGAAAGTCAGATGCTCAACTGAAGGAGCCCCCAAGGCACCCCCTGATTTCTAATCTTTTCATTCTATAAATATGAAACACATGAACGTGTGCAAATTTTTCCAAAATACACCACAAACCGTACAGACTTCCCCACCTTGGCATATGAGATCCCCTATCTAGGATACCTAGCTCTCTAAGAGAATACACTCCTAGGAGGGGCACCTCAGTGGCTTAGTCAGTGAAGCATCCAACTTCAGCAGAGGTCATGATCTCATGGTTTGTGATTCAAGCCCTATGTCAGGATCTGTGCTAACAGCTCAGAGCCTGGAGTCTGCTTCGGATTCTGTGTCTTCCTCTCTCTGCCCCCCCGACCCATGCTTTGTCTCTCTCAAAAATAAACATTAAAAAAAAATTTTTTTTTAATTACAAAAAAAAGAGAGAAAAAAACATGATCCTGGGAGTAAAAACCACAATAAATAACCATTCACTAATTCCCCAGGAAATACTTCCCAACCTGGAAAAAATTCGTTATTTATATCTCTGTCATCTTTTCTTTCCCTGTGGGAACAGGGTAAAATTTCTATTATCTGAGATATATTCACTTTTGAACTATAACCTCCTAGCGTAATTGCTACAACACCCAACTCAATCTTACAATATCTTTCTTAACATGACACATGATACCCTTATTAAAGCACTCTTCACATTTCTTGGCATATAATTAACACTCGATAAATAGTAATGGCTAGTACTGTGGTTATTAGGAAACCATGGGTGTCTTGTGGGGAAGATACAGCACAACTGAAGGATGAGCTTTGGACTCATCCTGATTTAAGTTTTAACTCAGCTGCATCACTACCTGTGACCCAGACAGATAATAAATATATATCTTCCCTCAGCTTTGTTTGCCATTTGCAAAAGCAGCACAGCAATGTAAATTTCACAGGCAATTGTAAGGATTAAATGAACGAATATAGGCCAATTCGTAGCACAGGCCTGGTACATAACAGGCACTCAGTAAGTAATAGTTTTTATCATTATCCTTTTCAATACCATAGCTGGGATCCCATCTTGTATAACTCCGTACTTGCTTGTAATTTCTTCATCTTTCATTCTTAGTTCTGATACTTCCTCAAGTTCACAGTTTAAAAAAAAGAAAACTTCAAACACATTTCTGAAATAGCGTCACATTTTACCATCGATGTTAAAAGAAATTTGCCAGTTGGCAACAAAGGAGTAAGATGTGGTACACTTTCTTGTCAGCCACAGATGTGAAAATGTAGTCATGGCAAAGAATTTTTGTTCTCATCCAACTATCATTTCAGTTGAAGTATATAAATTAGTGGCACTATATTCAGAATTTTAAAATGAGATTTCTAATGCCATTTATACAGTCTTATAAAGCTAAGCAATATTCCCACAGAAAATCAGTGTACACAAAAGAGAACAGTGATAGAGCTATGAGGTAAAATTTATGGTAAATGAAGAACATATATATCAATGGATATACGACAGCACTCCCCTTAAAAAGGGAAGTGTAGTTTTGTTTCATTTCTTCACTGCAGTGCAAAAATATTACCTGCTACAAGTCATGTAACACAAAGTTAGTTTAAACATCTTGAAAGAGACTACGGTAAAACATGCTCAAAGCCTGGGGAAGTTGCCATGACCAAGTCACATATCATAAAGGGTTTTAATTAGGCACAAAATCTGCTGGGAAGTATTTAACTTCCAGAGATGTGTAATACAATTAAGGAAACACTATAAATGAGAACTACACATAATTCTTTTGTGGCATATCTGTCCATCCTGAAGTTGTTAAAGAAGTTATGTACGTGAGTTCAAAGAAGGTTCCCACCACGATGCCACACAATTTGCTGCCAATGGGTAAAAGTGGCTCAGAACATTAATGTTTAAATGTTTACTAAATATGAAGAATATGACTTTATCAACTAATGAATACCAATATAAAAATTGCATACATTTAGCTATTATTAAATTAATACAATCTTAAAAGTTTATAGCTCCTAGAACTGAAGAAATATAGAATCAAAGCACAATGTAAGATAACCAATGAAACAAACAAAACCCAAACTAAGAATAAAGCAGATGACAAAAATAAAAATAGTTTTATACCAATCTGGTACAAACGCAGCCATTATGAAAACCAGAGGGCTAGAAAGAGCTTTGTAGTAAATCTTACAAAAAATAAGGATGTGACTCTTTACTCACTCTTCCATACATGTTGAAGGAAATCACCCTGATTTAAATGGTTGTAAGTTAACATTTTTATAAACACTGTTTCACATAGTAATACTTTTAAGAGTAAACAAATTTCCCACATGCAGATTTAGTAACACCGAAAATCCTGTATTAATCACATCTCTTTTTAGAGCCAGGGACATTCAACATCAGATAGTTGGACTATTCAGTTCATCACTCCATACCTCCTCAGCTTCTCCCTTTCTTCTCTCTCTCTTTCTTCTCTTCGTTTCAGGCGTTCCTGATTTCTTTTCTCCTGTTTCTCAGCTACAACTCTCTTAAAAGACAATGACAATTCAAATAATAAAAAATGAGAAGCATTAGTTACTGAGTCCATTCTTAATAAGAATTATCCTACACTCTACGACATGTGGTTCCCAATATAGCACAGGTAACATCAAAATCTGTTTAATAACAGTTCAATTAAAAGTTTTACTGGGTAAAATCATTATGCAAGTCTAGTTTCCAAAATGTTTCTTCCCCCCTTCTGGGGAACATTTGTAAAATCTCATGTTTCTTCATGACTTAATATTTCAAAATCATTTCTACAAGACTTTTCTCCTTTGAATATTTTCAAGCATTACTTTGTATATTTCAAGTCTTTTTTTTTTTTTCCAGTAATCTCTACACCCACGACCCTGAGATCAAGAGGAATATGCCATGCCAACTGAGCCAGCGAGGTACACCTATTTTGTATTTTTTAAAGAACATTAAGCAGTATAAATCACTATAAGCTCCCATTCTCTATGATTTCCAAAATAAAAATGTCTTCTGTCACTTCCAATTACCACCTCAATTCTGCTGCTTCAAAAAGTACCAGTAAAAAGCTAAACAGTCCTGTTGCTAGCTCTGTATCTGCAAAGATTCCCAAACAGTACTATTTTTGAGTTTTAACTTAGACCCCAGTAACCATGTGAAATAGTGAAACTTAGTCATTTAAAAAAACTTACCCCAAATCATCCCAGTTACTCAGAATACTTAGAAGAGCTCACTGTTAATTACAAATACAGAGACGTCCCTAAGTGTTTCTGACTCCACATTATTTTAAATGTGAAACTATAGATCTTGGGTTAATTTCAGTAATAAAAGTCACTATCCGGTGATTGCCACCTTTGAGCCAGTCTCCTACTCATAACAAAATGCTACAGTGCCAAAATTTAAAAAAAAAACAGGCTGCATCAGGGGCACCTGAGTGGCTCAGTCAGTTAACTGTCTGACTTTGGCTCAGGTCATGATCTCACAGTTTTTGAGTTCAAGCCCTGCATCGGATTCTGTGCTGACAGCGGAGAGCCTGCAGCCTGATTCAGATTCTGTGTCTCCCTCTCTCTCTTGCCCCTCCCCCACTCACACGCTTGTCTCTCTCAAAACTGAATAAATGTAAAAAAAGAAAAAAACCAATAAAACTAGCCACACCAGATTCTTGAGAAGTAAATTGACTATATCCATTTATTCTGATCTTTAACCTCTTTAGAAATACCCTGTTTGTTGTTTTCCTGTCTTCTCAGAAGAATTCAGCACGAGTAGGAACTGTACTGCCTTTCTCACAATAGTGGTATATATATGTTAAGTGATAATAACTGTCCTTTTTTTAAAGATAGGTTTCATTCTAATTCCTTTCTGAAACAGGAGTAGGAGCATAAAATAAAACTAGAGGTCCTACAAGCTTGTTATGAAAAACTGCAAAATATTTCAAAAAAATACTAGACTCATTTTCTCAATCTTCCTTTGAAGTAAATATTATAACGGGGCGCCTGGGTGACTCAGTTGGTTAAGCGTCCGACTTCGGCTCAGTCATGATCTCACAGTTCGTGGGTTCGAGCCCTGCGTCGGGCTCTGTGCTGATAGCTCAGAGCCTGAAGCCTGTTTTGGATTCTGTGTCTCCCTTTCTCGCTGCCCCTCCCCTATTCACGCTCGGTCTCTGTCTCAAAAATAAACATTAAAAAAAATTAAAGTAAATATTATACTGTTTATTTTACAGAAAATAGAATAAAAATTTGGGGGGAATTTGTATGAAACAATTAGTTCAGAACTCAGTTTGCAAGATTCCTAATTCAATGTCCTATCCAACACAAAACACTATCCCCCAAAATAAGGGGACAGTATTTAAAGTCTGTTTTTCGGACATCATCCATTAAACCAGCTGTTATCTCCATTGATAATCCTACTCTATTTGGTATGAATTGTTAGCAGAATTTCAGCCAAGATATTACACAAAAAGATTAACTAATACATATCAAAACAACGAGTGATTAAATTAAAGTGAAGGATATTAATTTACCAATGTACCTTTAATTCTTCAAGTTTCTCTCTTATTTCAATAAATCCCAGGTGCAGTTTACCCCCAAAATGATCAGCCAGTCGTCTATCATTATCATGAAGACCTAAATAGGCAGAGCAGACTTCACAGACTCGAAGTTTCTGTTGTTGGAAACTGGAAGCCGGCATAGAATTCCTATAAACTTCCTGAACAAAAGTGAGAAAAACAATATTCATATAAACCTGAGTCATACCACTACACAAAATACACTATGTACATATAAAGAAAAGTTTTCTGATGAATACACAAAAGTATGGCTATTTTGTTATGAAAATCCATGGGTTTTCCATTACCCTCATCCTCTGTCCTTGGGACCTAGCCAATGGAAGTAAACTGTATTTTGCCAAGAACTACTGTAAGAATTCTACCACGACATAGAACACGACTTTCGGAAAGGCCTTCTCAGTGTTCTGGGTTTTCTTTTCTGCAATTTTTGTTAAAAATGAAACGAAGCAACCCCAAAACTATATACATCAGTGAAGGATCAAGAAAAAAGTCACCCACACTGGCAGAGAGGGAATGAATGTCTTTGGTATTATTACAGTTTCCTTCCACTGCCTTCTTACCCACAGGTCATTTCTTTTCCCTTTGGAAATGTGGACAGGGCATACAAATGATAACTTTCCACCAAAAGCAATAGTTCTATAAGCAATGAGAGGAAGTGCCTTAACAAGAGTAAGATGTCTTACACTCAATCATTTTTCCTTACTGAAAATATTCTGGTTATCGTCTGACACAGCCACCTCTCTACCTAAAAAACATTACACTTCCTGGGGCACCTAGGTGGCTCAGTTGGTTAAGCGTCCAACTCTTGATTCGTGAGATAGAGCCCCACATCAGGCTCTGCAATGATAGTGTGGAGCCTACTTAGGATTCTTTCTCCCTCTCTCTGCCCTCCACCTCTGCTTGAGCATGTGCATGCACTCTCTCTCTCAAAATAAATAAAAAAAAAAAACTTAAAAACAAAAAAATTCTATTTCCAAGCCTTTATGCAGCTTTGGCTTTAGAGATATTTAAGTGGACATTGCTGGAGGGAATATATAGAAAAGTTCTTTCAAAGGGAGTCAGTAAGCTGAGATAAAAAATCACTAATGGCTGTTATCACCTGTGGATCAGAAGTGATGGGAAACAATATTTACAGTTTCAAAAATGTCAATACCAAGGGACGCCTGGGTGGATCAGTTGGTTAAGCATCCAACTTCAGCTCAGGTCATGATCTCACCATTTGAGTTTGAGCCCTGTATCAGGCTCTGAGCCTGGAGCTGGCTTCAGATTCTGTGTCTCCCTCTCTCTCTTCCCCTTCCCTGTTTGCATGCTGTCTCTCTCTCAAAATTAAACATTAAAAAAAAGAAAAAAGTGTCAATACCAAGACACTTATTACAAAAAGGAAAGCACTGTAACTTCACAGTCGAAAAAGAGGCAATATCACCAGAAATGGGACAAATTACTAGCATGTGCCTTCTGATGCATATAACATTACTTAAATGGTACTCCTGTCAAAATTCTAATCAAGAAGAAAATCAGACAAACCCAAACTGAAAAACATTTTACAAAATAATTAGCCTGTACTTTTCAAAACTGTCAAGATCATGCCAAAGACTAAAGTTCCACATTAAAGAGGCCTAGAGGAACATGAACAAATAAATGCAGCATATGATCTTGAACTGGACCTTAAACAAAGAAAAAAAAATTTTATGTTTATTCACTGATCTTGAGAGAGAGAGAGAGAGAGAGAGAGAGAGAGAGAGAGAAAGAGAGAATCCAAGCAAGATCCACACCATCAGCACAGAGCCCAATGCAGGGCTGGAACCCACAAACCGTGAGATCATGACCTGAGCCAGAATCAGGAGTCAGACACTTAACAGACTAAAACACCTAGGGGTCCCAAAGAAAAAAATTTTAATAAAGAGAACATTAGTGGGACAATTCAGAAGAATCTGAATAAAGTCTTCCAATTAATAGTATTGTATTAATCTTAATTTCTGATTCAAATCACTATACTGCATTTATGTAATAAAATATCCTTGTTTTTAGTAAATACACATTGGAGTATTTGGGGATAAAGAGGCTTTACATCTATAACTTAATGTCAAACATTACACATACAATACACATACAATAGGAGAAAAAAAAGGAAATGTGGTAAAAATGTTAATATTTGGAGTCCACGTGAAGGATATAGGGGCATTCCTTACACTATTTCTTTTGTATCTCTGGAAATATTTCAAAATAAAAGTTTTTTAAAAAGATAAACACAAACACATGATACACAGAGGCAAGTCAACTCAATTTTTGTGCCTTACTATTCCTTTTTCTAGTTATGCAGAAGAAAGGCTTTAGGCATAGTGGCCATATTACCGCCAAAAAATGATAAACATAAAGATGAATCCATATAATAAAGATGGCTGAACATAAAGGTGTAAGTAACTTGTATACTAGATGGAATCATGGAGCTGCCATATCAGCCCTAGACTCCCTAACCACGAGTATTTACTAAAGGAGAACAACAAAACCCTTTTTTGGTTAACCCATTGTAAGTTAAGTTTTCTTTTATGTGCAGTTGAACACAATCTAAAATGGGCAAGCACATTTTTTAAAGTATTGTCCTTAGTAAAAATCAAATGCAGACAAAATATAACAGATTAAAGACGTTAAGCCACTGTGTGATACTAGAAAATCTTCAAATACATATGCATGAAATTTCATGAAAACAAAACATGCAAGTAATAACATCACTATGTTCGCTACCAGAGTCTTTGGGGGAAATGAGCTATAAAATACTCTGCATTTAAAAATTGGGGCAACTGGGTGGCCCAGTCAGTTAAGCATCTGACTCTTGATTTTGGCTCAGGTCATGATCTCATGGTTCGTGAGATCAAACCCTACATCTGGCTCTGTGCTAGCAATGAGAAGTCTGCTTGGGATTTTCTCTCTCTCCCTCTCTTTCTGCTCTTTTGCTCGTGCGTGCACTCCCTCTCAAAATAAACATTTAAAATATAAAAATTCAGTGTTTATTTTCTGGATTGGTATTAATTACATTTCAAGAAATGCTAATTTGAGAAACTTAACAGAAGACCATGGGGGAAGGGAAGGGGAAAAAACAGTTTCAAACAGAGAGGGAGGCAAACCACAAGAGACTCTTAAATACAGAGAACAGAGGGTTGGGGGGGGGGCGGAGGAGAGGGGAAAATACGTAATGGGCACTGAGGAGGGCACTTGTTGGGGCTGAGCACTGGGTGTTGTATGTAAGTGATGAATCATGGGAATCTACTCCCAAAGCCAAGAGCACACTGTATACACTGTATGTTAACTAACTTGACAATCAATTCTGTTTAAAAAAAAAATAGGTAATAAAAATATAAAATCTAAGTTAAAAAAAATAATAAAGAAATCCTCAATATTAAGACTTCAAAAATACTAAGAAGGTTGCACAGCATATTCTTTTCCATCCTATTACCTTTAATATATATTTATATTTAAAGTAGATTCCAGGGGAGACTAGGTGGCTCAGTCGGTGAAGCATCTGACTCTTGATTTTGGTGCATTTGGTGCAGGTCATGATCTCATGCTTCATGGGACCAAGCCCCACGCTGGGCTTTGTGCTGACAGCACAGACTCCGCTTGGGATTTTCTCTCTCCCTCTTTGCCCCACCCCTGCTCATATGCATTCTCTCTCTCAAAATAAACACTTTAAAGTAGTTTGTTTTTTTTTTTTTAAGTTTATTTATTTTTGAGAGAGTGCAAGCAGGGGAGGGGCAGAGAGAGAGGGAGACACAGAATCTGAAGCAGGCTCCAGGCTCTGAGCTGTCAGCAGAGAGCCCAAAGTGGGACTTGAACTCACAAGCCGTGAGATCATGACCTTGAGACGAACTCGGATGTGTAACTGACTGAGCCACCTACTGCCCCTAAAGTAGACTTATTATAGCTAGCTCTTGCTTTTAAAAAAAAATCCAGTCTCACAATCTTTGCCTTTTAGTTGGAATATTTAGACCATTTACATTTAATGTAATTATTGGTACACTGGGTTACATTTAACATAATTATCGGTACACCACTATGCTATTTATTTTCTCTATGTCCAATCTGTTGTTTATTCCTTTTTTCCTGCCTTCTTTTGGATTAAGTATTATTTAGGACTCCATTTTATTTCTACTATTAGTTATACTTTTTTCCCCTCCAGTGGTTTCTCTGGAGTTTACAGTATACAACTTTAACATCTAAAAAAAGCTAAAAAGACCTTATTAATATCAGATCAAGATTTGAAAGCAAAAGACATTACTAGGACAGTTCAAAATAATAAAGGGCCCAATTATTCAAAAAGACACAACAAACCTAAAGGTGTATTAGCCTAATAATAGTTTCAAAATACATGAAGCAAAAACTGACAAAACTGAAAAGCATAGATAAATCCACAATTAGAGGTAGAGACTTGAATATTCCTCTCAGTAAATAAACAGAAAATCAATAGGATGTGTAAAGATTTGAACAATTAATCAACCATCCTAACTCAACTGACATTTACAGAACACTCCATTTAACAAGGGAGAGTATCATTCTTTTAAAATGCAGATGGAGGGGCGCCTGGGTGGCGCAGTCGGTTAAGCATCCAACTTCAGCCAGGTCACGATCTCGCGGTCCGTGAGTTCGAGCCCCGCGTCAGGCTCTGGGCTGATGGCTCAGAGCCTGGAGCCTGTTTCCGATTCTGTGTCTCCCTCTCTCTCTGCCCCTCCCCTGTCCATGCTCTGTCTCTCTCTGTCCCAAAAATAAATAAACGTTGAAAAAAAAAATTTTTTTAAAATGCAGATGGAACATTTACCAAGACTAAATTCAGGGCACAAAACAAGTACTGACATATCTAAGAGACCTAAAATCACACCAATGTTCTCTGTCTGCAAGAGAACTAAATTAAAATCAGAAAAGAAAAATATTTAGAAAAAACAAATATATAATAACACACTCCTGTATAACCCATAGATCAAGGGAGAAATCACAAGCAATATTAGCAAATATTTGCATTGAATAAAAATAAAAATACAACATATGAATCTGTGGGATACAGCTACAATTGTGTGTAGAAGAAAATTTACAGCAGTAAATGGGCTAAAATCAGTTATCTAAAAGAGGACAGAATAAGAAAAATTAAACCATGGTGTGATACAGTTAAGAGCAATGGACACTATGGTAAAATGGGAGAATACAACCTCATCTGAAGGTATCCAGCTTTCTAAAAAACATCAGGTGGGCAAAACAAAATAGAACTTTGTCTTCAGACATTAGATTTTGACCTGTGCTGTGAAGAAAGCATAAGAGGAGGCTGCCAAAGTACTATATTTGTACTGAGGTAGGAAGAGAAGAAATCCAATGGTTGCCATGGTGTTAAGCTGGGGGAGGGGAAGGTATCACTATGACATTTACGCACTCTGTGTGTGATGTGTGTGTGACTGTTCTGTATGACTACCTAGTTTAGTTCATTTCATTTACTAGTTACAAATTTCAACAGGTCAGTGGCTCTAAAATAAAACAAACCCACAACTTTTGATACATAATCCATTAGTATGATACCAGCTAATTAAAATAATTTTTAATTGGCTTTAACTTTTCAGTAATTTCCAACTAAATATATGTTAAGAAGTATAGACAGTAAGGCTCTAGATAATACTATAAAGAATTTCATTACCTCTGCTTCTCTTTTCTTTGCCCGTGCTTTCTCTACTTCATCCATTACTTTTTGGGATTCTTCCACATTTCCCTCAGCTCCTAGTTGTTCCACCTTGGCCAACAACTTACCAATTTCTTCATTTAATTCATGAACACGTTCTGCCTAGAAAGCAACAGAAAAGAAAATCATGAATAAAAAGCACAATTATCAAAGTTCAAAATATTTCACAAATGCTCAGAAAAGACAAGTTCTCTAAAGCAAGAGGAGTACAAATAATGCTTTCTGAGCATAAAATACATGAACTGGTGGGATATGAGGATGTTTTGAGCCTGCTTGCCCTCACTACAGTGAGGTCAGGAATACAAATAATCTCAATTTAAAACTATTACTTCCTAACCTCTGCTTTGGCAGTATATTCCAAGTATAAAATACCTTTTTTCACACAATCTGGCCCTATGTACCTTTCCAAACCATCTCTTGCTGTTCCCCCACTTCACAACACAATATAGTAGTTACACCCAGTTTCTCAAATTTACTCTTAATTTCTACCTCTGTGACTGCAGAGGGATGTCATCCCTCTTCCTGGGATATCATCCCTGATCTCCCCTTGCCTGAATTCACGTATGTCTATTCACTCAACAAGATCCAATTATTCTGTGAAGCATTCCTTTTTATTTGTTTATGTCTATTTATTTATTTATTTTAAGAGACAGAGAAAACGCAACCAGGGAGGGACAGAAAGAGAGGGAGGGAGAGAATCCCAAGCAGGCTCCACACTGTCAGTGCAGAGCCCGATGTGGGGCTCCAAATCATGAACCCTAAGATCATGAATGACCTGAGCTGAAATCAAGAGTCGGTCGCTTAACCGACTGAGCCACCCAGGTGCCCCTCCATGAAGCATTCTTGATCAATCAACACATTTCACCCTACTTAATCATAAACAGAGAGAGCCAAAGCCGCCTTTGTACCATCTTTGTATCTTTTACAACAACTACTTTTATATACATTACCACACCACTTTTAAAATAGCTATTTATATTTCCCATCTTTGTATTTCCAATGCCCAAGAAACAGCATAGACTCAAAAAAAAAAAAAAAAAAAAAAAAAAAAAAAAAGGAGTTACAGAAATGAACTGGTGCATACGCTTTAAGTCAAAGATGACTTTAGAGTCCCAACAGTTTTAGCTTATTGCCCAACCAATTACCAGATGCGTAATTTTGACCATAGTACTTAACCTGAATCAACTTCCTCATCTGAGAAGCAGGAATACTAGTATCTCACAAAGTTGTGAGAAATGAGAAAATGTGCGTTGCACATACACTACACAGCACATTACTGATTTGTCACTATACGACCACAGCACTCCTTCTCCCTTAGCCTTAGTGAATGTTTTTTCACTGGGATTAATTCTTGCCTTGGGATTCTGTCCTCCTCCTCACCATCATCCTGAGAGTGTAGTTAGTTCATTCCTACTGTTTTAATGGTATATGATACATACACCATCTTTATTTTGGCCACAAAGTTAAGTATTCAGGCTACATGGCCAATTACATTAGCTAAGATTTTAATTTGATGTGGTAATCCAGTCCCAACAAACTAGTGTGCCAATAATCTTTACTTCTCAAATGTCTTTCAATCCAAAATATTCATCCCTCAAAGAAATTCTCAATGCTATTATCATTTTCTTACCTCTTTAACAAAAGTGGTATTTTTCTTTCAATATCCATCATAGAATAATTGGATTATGCCCCAAACTCTTTACCTTTCCTCGTATCCATTTTTTGTTATGTAACTAGTAATATCATACACATTCTGATTCTGAATTTGGCCTCGTAACTGGCTTTAGCTAACAGGACAGTAACAAACATGACAGAAGGAAAGGCATGAAAAGCACTTGTATGACAGAGCTATGACATTTTTTTTACACCTCTACCACTACCATGAGAACATGGCCAGGCTAGCCTTCTGGGTTCAGTAGCCTCTGGACGACTGTAAGACATGTGAGTAAGCCCAGCTGAGTATATGAAGATCCTCCCAGTCAAGTTCAGCCTAAATCACTTTTTCAAAATTTATTTATTTTGAGAGGAAGAAAGAGTGTGAGCAGGGAGGAGCAGAGAGAGAGGGAGAGACAGAATCCCAAGCAGGCTCCATGCTATCAGTGGAAAGCTCAACGCGGGGCTCGATCTCATGAATCACGATGTGAACAGAAATCAAGAGTCAGATGCTTAACTGACTGAACCACCCAGGCACCACCAGCCTGAATCATTGACTGAAGACTCAAAGGCTAAATACCACTGTTTCAAGTCATTGAGTTTTGAGGTAATTTGTTAAGTAGCATTTTTGTGGTGATCAATAATCAATACAAGGCCATATAAACCAGGATAGCACTGATGGGTGTTTTTCAACCATGAGATATCAGATCCTTGCACTTTAGGATCCCATCTTTAGAGAATTTTCAAAAGTTCTCAGGGTGCCTGGCTGGCTTAGTCAGCAGAGCATGCAACGCTTGATCTCAAGGTCATGAATTTGAGCCCCAAGTTGGGTGCAGAGATTACTTAAAACAAAAGACCGTTCCTCAAAGAGGAGAATCCATTTCCCTTTGTACATACATTTCTTGAGAAGTGGATTTAATGCTGTCATCCAAACTATCTGGGTAACTCTGCCTCCATTCTACATTTTCATAAAACATACCAACTATCTTGAATGGCACAAAATGTTACTAAGTAGTAAGTCATCAAATCAACAAACTGTAATACAGGGAATTCTTTTGGATTCTCATTAGAACAAATCAACTCTATATATGAAAAATTAACACATTCTAGTTATTAGGGAATATTAAAAAATTATTGCTAGCTTTATAGCTTTATGGATATGATTTTATGGTTATGTTTTAGAGGTGGTATCATGTGACATACTGAATTTGCTTTTAAAATAATGAAATGAGCAAAAAACTGATGACTACAAATCCACTGGGATTTACTGTACTTTTCTTTCTACATTTCTTATTTGCACTTTTAAAGTTTATTTATTTGTGTAATCTCTACACTTAATGTGGGGCTTGAACTCATGACCCCAAGATCAAGAGTTGCACTAAAAATGGACTTACCATATGACCCAGAAATTGCATTCTTGGGCATTTATCCCAGAGAAATGAAATGCTTATTGCAGTTTGATTGGTGTTAACCCAGTAAATGGAAACAACCCAAACATCTTTCAATGTGTGGTTGAACTGTAATATATCCATACCATAGAATACTACTCAGAAAAAAAAAAGGAATAAACTACTGATACATGCAACAACTTGTATGAATCAAGGAAGCTGTGCTGAGTGAAAAGAACCATTCTCAAAAGGACACGATTCCATTTATATAATATTCAGTAAAGTAACAATTATTGAGATGGAGGTCTCCAGAAGACAGGGGAAAAGGAGGAACAGGTATGGTTACAAAGAGGTAATATGAGGGAGTCTCAAGGTTGATGTTACAGGGAAGTAACATAATTATGATGGTAGTTACCCAAGTTACTTACACATGTGATAAAACTGCACAGAGCTATACACACATACACACACACACACACACACAAGTGCACACATAACTGGTAAAATCTGAATAAAATGTTGTGATTGGAGTGGTATGAGTATCTTGGCTTTCATGGTGTACTACAGTTGTATAAGATGTAAACATATAAGGGGAGGCTAGAGGAAGAGTTCAGAGAATTCCCTATATATGTCTCTGTAATCTGTGCAAGTAATTATTTCAAAATAAAAAGCTAAAATTAGTGAGATGAAACTATACTTTGTACTAATGAAATTACTGACATTCTTACCTTTGCGGCCACTTCAGCACTAATCTCTTCTTGAGTTTCTGCTAATCTTTTCTTGGCCACTTCTGTTCTTCGATCACAATCTGCAATGAATGACTGCAGATGATCCATAGCCTGCAAAGTTTAATTAAAAGACAATTAGATATTTCTTAAGAAGTATCTTTACTAAAAACTGTATTTTTTAAATGCTAAAATAAAAGTAAAAAAGTAACAAAAGCAGATTCAATAATAAAAATACTACTCATCATCTATCAAACTGGCAAGGAATAAACATAAATAATTCCCAGGAAAGGTAAAGCCCCTGATTTTGGCTCAGGACATGATCTCTGGTTAGTGAGATTGAGTCCCAGTGTCGGGCTCCATGCTGACTGCATGGAGCCTGCTTGGAATTCTCTCTCCTGGTCTCTGCCCCTTTTGCCTTCAAAATAAATAAACTTAAAAAAATCCACATTGCATTTAAGACCCTCCCTCTTTCTATATAAACATATTTACAGACACAAAAAACAAATATAAAAATTCTATAGATTATTAAAGGGCCTCATATACATTAAAAATGTGTTGGTTTTCATGTGCTTAAATTGATGTTTCTGTAATCATTATGGATTTACTGGAAAGATACTTTTCAAAAGAATATATGCACTGAATGAGTTTTACGCATTTTCTTAAAACACCCAGTTTCACCTTATATATATATATATTTTTTAATTTTTTTTCAACGTTTATTTATTTTTGGGACAGAGAGAGACAGAGCATGAACGGGCGAGGGGCAGAGAGAGAGGGAGACACAGAATCGGAAACATGCTCCAGGCTCTGAGCCATCAGCCCAGAGCCCGACGCGGGGCTCGAACTCACGGACCGCGAGATCGTGACCTGGCTGAAGTTGGACGCTTAACCGACTGCGCCACCCAGGCGCCCCTCACCTTATATTTTTAAAAAATGTTGCTCATTGGGACATCTGGGTGGCTCTGTCATTTAAGCATCTGACTCTTGGTTTCAGCTCAGGTCATTATCTCATGGTTTTGTGAGTTTGAGCCCCACGTCAGGCCTGCACTAGCAGCACAGAGCCTGCTTGGGATTCTCTCTCTCCCTTTCTCTCTCTGTCCCTCCCCTACCTGTGCTCTCTTCCAAAATAATAAAGTTTAAAAAAATAAAGTCTTAAAAAAATGTTGCTAGTCAACAAAGCATCTTAATTTAGTACTGTCCTTCATATAACCAAAAAGATTAATTCGCTAAGAGCCTTTGCCTGTAGAAATATTAATCCATATTCAAAATGTTTTACTGCAAAAAATAATCTAACCCATTAAAGCAAAAATCACATACATCAAGTTCAAAGAAAAAATCTTGTTCTTTGGATGCAATTTCATAATCTGCTCTTAAAGCCAGGTCATGGACTTTGAGACACTCTCCAAGATCCATTCTCTAGGGGAAAAAAAAGACATTATTGAAAGAGCAAACACATTTTGCAAAAATTCATTAACAATCACAGTTCTCTTCAAATTACATATTAAGTCTCACAGGTGCTTCTTTATTTACGGACTTCCAAATTACGAAATTTCATAGACAAGTATAAAACTTGGTGCCAGAAAAAAACAACATCAATTCTGACTACCAGCAGATAGAAGGAGTGATCACTTTTGTACCTAAGAACACATGGACAAGGAAAACAGCCAGAATCTAAAACAAGCTTCTAGCAGCCCATTAACACAGAAAAGATAACATTAATTTAAAATCAAACTAAAAGAATATGTAAATCAGACTGCCGAATTATAGTCAGTATTCTTTGAAGAACATTCTGATTTTCAAATAAAGATGGAGTCCTCAAAACACGAGACCAGTAACCTCAATCTGGATTTCAGACAAGACTGCAGGTGAACTAGTAAAAAGAAATTTATTAAGACTCAACAGAAGTTCACAAAGAATCAGTACCTAACCCTATTAACAAGCATACGTAGGGGCGCCGGGGTGGCTCAATTGGTTAAGTATCTGACTCCTGGTTTTGGCTCAGGTCACGATCTCAGTTTGTGGGTCTGAGCTCCATATCAGGCTCTATTGTTGACAGCATGGAGACTGCTCGGGATTCTCTCTCTCCCCCTCCCTTGCTCGCTTGCGTGCCTGCTCGCTCTCTTGCGGTCTGTGAGTTAGAGCCCAATGTCTGGCTCTGTGCAGACAGCTCAGAGCCTGGAGCCTGCTGTGAATTATGTGTTTCTCTCTCTGCCCCTCCCCTGCTTGCGTGCTCTCTCTCTCAAAAACATTAATAAAAAATTAAAAATAAACTTAAAAAAGGTAATATTCAAAAGAATAGACCAGATAAAATTTAAAATAAATAAATATGAAGTCCTATAGTCATATCTAAGAAGACAAATTTACAATTAGCTATGAACAGAAAATTAAGACAAATTTAAAAACATACCAGTCAGGGTGCCTGAGTGGCTCAGTCTGTTAAGTGTCTGACTTCCTGATTTCAGCTCAAGTCATAATCTCATGGTTTGTGGGTTCCAGGCCCTTGAAGGGCTCCAAGCTGACAGCACAGAGCCGGCCTGGAATCCTCCCTCTCTTCCTCAAGAGGCACCTGGGTGGCTCAGTTGGTTAAGCATCTCACTCTTGATTTTGGTTCAAGTGATGGATGGAGCATGGAGCCTACTTGGGATTTTTCTCTCTCTCTCTCTCTCTGCCCCTCTCCCACTCATGCACGTACTCTCTCTCAAACATTAAAAAGAAAAAATCTTCCTCAAGAGTTAGTGAGTTCCCCGATAATGGAAAGATTCGAATATGGTTTAGACAACCAATTATCTAGGATACTGAGGAAAAGAATATCAGGTACTATCAGGTAGCTTCCTCTTTCCAAGTGAGACTTTATGACAAAAATAGTAAGTTCCTCTGTAAAACTATTACCTCAATTTTTAATTACATAAAAGAATGAATGGGAAAATACAGACAATATCTTCAAAGCGATCCTTTGAGAAATAATAAGGAATATTCACTAGTATAATAAAAGTCCTTATCACACTTGAAGACTAGCACGGATCACTGCACTGCCGAGGATGCTGAGATTTTTCCAAGCTCCACTCGTTACTCTCATTCATAAGTCTATGGGTTAGCTAAGAAGTCTTCTAATGACAATAAGCAGCCAACTGAAACTTGTTGATGTGTGGAAATTCAAAGCTGCTTATCAAGTGGCATTTTTAAAAACCTATAGAAAAAAGTTTAACAGTCTTAAAATTGTAGGAAAGTAAGACAGAAATGAAAGAAGTTAACTGCAAAAGAAGGTTGTTACCATCTTTGCTACACCAGTGTGTTTCTTAATCGATATCTTAACATTAATCACTCCAACAACTCCCTTTATATGTGTATTTCTATAGCTATAGTGGTTAATGGGATGCTATACTTATTTCCTAAAATGTTATGGTGTCACAGTTGGAAATGCCAATGATCCAATGCAGTGGTTCTTAACCTAGACCCAGGGTAATACAGATGCAAGAATTTGAAAATAGGTCCCAAGCCCCACCATCCAAAGAGAGAATTATAAAAGCCTCTCCGGTGTTTTTAATGTACAGTGTTGGGAACCACTCACTGATCTAGTTTTACTCCCATTCTCCAGACAAAGAATTAAGGCCTAGAAAGATGGCTTTATTCCAGGTACTTACTAGAAAATCTGGTTAAACTGATTTCTAGTCTAAAACCATGCCAGTTCCAATTAAATCAGTACTAACTTACCTTTTAATATTTCTAGGTAACAATCACTCCCTACAACCTCTACATACTGTAGATACTCAAAGCAGTTATCTACACTGCCTTTCCTCTAGTTATCTTCCTATCTTTATCCTCTGCTTAACTATATTTCCAATCTGTTCTCACAAAGATCTAAAAGTAGTGTATAAATCTTGTCTCACTGTGTTTTACTTAAACATCTGTTACCCACCCATACTAAACATTGGCAGGAATTCCCCCACTCTTATCTTTAAATTTACATCATATAACCAACAAAAGGAAAAACCCCAACTATGTGGATCAAGACAAAATGAACACAAAAAGGACACAATTATACCACTGTAGTAAGGGTGGAATTTTGGTAAGAGGAGGAGAGTTGGATGCTTTGGAGGAGGATTTGTGGAAGGGGGAAATTTTTTAATACCTTACTAGAATGTGAGCTTCACAAAGACAAGGATTTTTTTTAATCTGTTTTATATACTATGTACCTGTGGCCTGGTATATAGGAATGTTTAATAATATCTTTTGAATGAATCAAACTGGTAAAAGAGGACAAAGAACAACATTTGGCACAGGCAGCCCTGAGCTTAACAAGCAAGGGTGGTCAAGATGCAACCCAGGACGTGGGGCTCCTGGGTGGTTGAGTCAATTAAGCATACAACTTCAACATCAGGTCATGATCTCATGGTTCATGAGTTCGAGCCTGGCACTGGGCTCTCTGCTGTTACCTTGGAGCCTGGAGCCTGCTTTGGATTCTGTGTCTCCTGCTCTCTGCCCCTCCCCCACTTGCATTCTGTCTCTTAAAAATAAACAAACATTTTAAAAGGGGGGAGGGGCACCTGGGTGACTTAGTTAGGCGGCCGACTTTGGTTCAGGTCATGATCTCATGCTTCATGGGTTTGAGTTCCCCGGCTGGCCAGCTCCAAACAGGGCAGCTCCCCTGGAGCCTGGAGCCTGCTTCAAATCTGTGACCCCCTCACCCCCCCCCCCCCCCCCCCCCCCCCCCCCCCTGCCTCAGCATCCCTTCCCCAGCCATGGTTTTCATAAATAAACGTTAAAAAAAATTTTTTTTTAAAAAAGATGCAACCCAGGACAAAAGCTCTGGGTCTGAGCTCTCAAGGGGAAGGTCCTTTGCCTCTCCATGGATTAACAACTTGGCTGGGACTCCTTTCCTTTCTAAGTATAAGTAGTTAAAGCTCTTCTCTCTTTTTTCCTATGTGCTACTGTCCTCCAGGAAGTAGACCACCTGGGCTTGATGCTATCCTCGACCATGAGCCCTACAGCTAGGCTTGCTTACAACAGCAGATTTGGGGGCCAAAACGTTAGGAAATGCAGTAGCTGTTTGTTTGTTTATTATTTATCTGTATGTATGTATATGGCCTCAGTGCTTATCCCTCAGGGATTTAGTAGGACAGTAGGTATAGGCAGAATTTTCAGAATTCTAGACACTAGTCATCTGTCTTCCTGTCCAGATCATCATGACTGAGCATGTACATGCATGCACAGAGTATTTAAAATGAAAAACAAGCAAGCCAAAATAAACACAAGTACCTGCTACTGTAAAAGAGAGTGAGGGGCAAGTATGCCCATGTTAATGCTCTCCAGGACACCAGTCATCAAATTAAAAAGCCACTACAAAGGGAACCATGGTAGAACCACACTATGACCAACTATGAACCAATCCTCAAAAGCCAAATCAATCCCAGGGCACCTGGGTGGCTCAGTTGGTTAATCATCCAACTTTGGCTCAGGCCATGATCTCACCGTTCCCAAGTTCAAGCCCCGAATGGGGCTCTGGGCTAACAGCTCAGAGCCTAGAGCCTACTTCAGATTCTGTGTCTCCCTCTCTATCTCTACCCCTCCCCCACTCATGCTCTGCCTCTCTGTCTTTCTCTCTCTCAAGAATTAAACATTAAAAAAAAAGGGCAAGATAAATAAAAACCAAATCAATCCTGACTTCTTCACTGATGGTTCAAGAGTACTTTGAACGTGAAGTGCACAGATATTTGCCCCTGCTTCTCTTCTGACATAATTAAGCTTCAAAGCGAACAAATAAAATGTTTGGTTATTTATTTTAACTTATAATGGCTCTATTTCTGATGAAAGCCATAGGAAGAGATTTGAGTTTTAAATTTAACAAGTAATTTACTTCATAATTAAATTCTTCCCACAAGTTTATTATTCTTGGTGTTTTAATTAAAAGGCATCTAAATTCTCAGATTGTAAATGGGAAAAATGCTTTTTAATTTTTTTTATTTTAGAGAAAGAGCACGAGTGGGGGAGAGGGAAGGGGGAAAAGAGAGCAAATCCTAAACAGGCTCCACACTCAGCAGAGACTGATGCAGGGCTCAATCCCACAACTTTGATATCATGACTTGAGGAGAAATCAAAAGTCGGACACTCAACTACGCCACCTGGGTACCCCAAAATACTTAAACTTTTAATTGAATAAATTCAGTTCTGCATTTTGTCTCCTCCATCTTAAATCTACTTCCTCCATGAAGTCTTGACCAAATAACTATATATGATTCTGGCAACTTCTCTTACAACCTCTCAACACTTTGTACTACCTTTCACTGTTTAACAAACTTGATTCTGTTAAGTGCTTTGTTCTTTTTTTTAATGTATACATATATTCTTTAACATTCATTTATTTTTGAGAGAGAGAATGCGCGCAGTGGGGAGAGACAGAGAGAAAGGGAGACACGGAA